AATGGAAAAAAAAGACAAGTGGATTAAAAAGAAAGTCTATATGTTGATTTGAGATACCTGGCCATTCATTCATTCTGAAGTAAATCTAACTATCCATATGAATCCACTCTATGTCAGGGTCCTCAATTCCACTCCTAACAGCACCCCATTGACAGTCTGTAGTGCCTAGCAACATTTATGATATTCATAAATGGGAGGCATGGAGTCACGCTACTGGCATATAGTATGTAAGGCAAGGGGTACTGTTAAACATCTTACATTGCACAAGACAGCTCCCATCCACAACAAAGAATGATCTGACCCCAAATGTCAACAGTGTCAAGATTAAGCAACTTTGCTCTAGTCTGACTTTCATTCCCATTGGGGGATGTTTTTGTTCTTGAAATGCTTAATTATTTAATAGTGGGCATACATCTTAGGAGTCGGGAACAGTTAGGTTCTAAAATTATCAGTGCCTGCTGAACCAAAGAACATAAATACTACACATATATTCCAGGAAACGGTCAAAAACTACGATATCTTTAAAAAGAAATTTTATGTTTTTCTAATGAATTATCCTACAGCATGTCTATAAATGGTCCCTCATTATGGTGTGTTTACTGTGATTAGACCTGGAATAAGAACTATAAGAATGGTCTATGAAAGTAAGACAAAACTCACTGGTTACCTAGTGTGGACTAAGTAGTTGCTCAGAAAATTTGTATGGGGTCTTTTTTCTAAATACTTCTCAATTTTACTTGATGGAATGAAGTCTACATTGTTTTGCTCTTGTGTGCATGATGTTCTGAATAAATATACAGTGAACATGAAAAAAATATTATGAAATACATGATGGTAGTATTTTAACATATTTATCTAAAGTGTCTAATATTATATATGAATACACTGTGATATCAGCAAGTATGAAAATTATTCCTAACTTTTATGAAGTATGAAATGAAAAGTACTGATAACTGAACTGTGTATATTCACTTTTTGCCACTGTAACAAATACTTGAAGAAAATGCCTTAAGAAAGCAAAGACCTATTTTATTCACAGTTTCAGAGGTCTCAGCCCATGGCTGGCTTGTTCTGTTTTTCTGGGGGTCTATGGTGAGACCTAACATCACAGCAGCAAGAGCATGCAGTGAGCAAAGTGGTCCACTCCATAGTGGCCAGAAATGAGAGACAGAGAAGGAGGGGGAGGCTAGAATCAACACATTCTTCAAAGGCTTTGCCCACTTCTTCCAGCTAGGCCCACCTTTACAGTTTCTACCACCTCCCAAAATGGTACCACTAGCTGGAGCCAATCCTTTAACACTTGAGCATGTGAGGGTCATTTCATATTCACACCATAAGAGGTACCTCAAGAATGTAGAGTATCAAAAAAAAAACCCTAAAAGTAAGAAACCAAATAACCTAATCAACAAATGGGGTGGTGGTGAAATGAATAGACAATTCTCAAAAGGCAAAATACAAATGGAAAATAAACATATGAAAAAATGTTCAACCTCACTAGCCAGAAAAATGCAAAGCAAAACTACACCAAGGGTCCATCTTACCTCAGTCAGAAGGGCAGCCATTAAGAAAACAAATAACAATGCTGGTAAGGGTATGGACTAAAGGGAAGGGACCCTTATACACTGCTGGTGGGAACATAAACTAGTCCAACCATCATAGAAGTCAGTATGGGGTTCCTCAAAAAGGTAACAATAGATCTCCACATGACCCAGCTATTTTACTTGTACAAAAACTTAAAAAATATATAAATAAAAATAAAGTAGAATATAAAATTGCAGTATGGACAAACCTAAAATAATTTAATCTTTGCATGTTCATCAACTAATGGATAGTGGTAGAATATAAACAGGAAGAGAACAGAACTCACAGTGGATAGCTCCTCAAAGACAATAGCTCCTAAAGACTATCTGTGAAAGTGAAGAGAGACCAAATGTCACATATCACTGATATTGAAGGAAATGTGAGGAAAGAATTAGCCTAGGTTTCCATAACTTTCCAAAGCTTTCTGTATGTCTAGTCACTGTGCAACAGGAAAACATACAAGGTTAAGAAGTCAAGCACAACTGGATGTGGTGGCATATGCTTTTAATCCCAGTACTTGGGAGGCAGGTGGATCTTTGTGAGATCAAGGAAAGCCTGGTCTATATAGCGAGTTCCAGGGAGACCAAGTCTCAAAAAAAAAAAAAAAGAAAAAGTCAACCTAATACAACCCAAGGATGATTTTGTTTGGGAATGAGGGTTCTATGTAAAGAAAAACAGGGAAAAATTGTAAATATCAATATTGCCATATATTCATAAAATATTATAGATGCTAATAAGAGAGACACATAGACATGCACATAATTACCTATATACTTCTCAACAAAGTAGAAATGAGGGCAAAAAAAGGGGGCATCAGGGAACAGAAGAGGGAATATGCTCAACACATTATATATGTAAGACCAGCCTCTTGAGTGCTGAAATTACAGGCCTATACCTCCACATCTGGCTTAAATGTTTTTTAAAGAAGGGAGTATATGTGATACGGACCTGGGAATTGATGGATTGAGAAAATTGCCAAAATACGGTTAAGTGTGGTCAGTGCTTTGGGGGTAGCGGAAACCAGGAAGCAAATGAAGACTAATCAGCTACAGACCTGGAAATTCACCTGGAAATTCAAAGAACTAGAAAGATGTTCAATATACAACAACTGATATGAGATTAAAAAAAGAAAGAGCTCTGACTTAAATTAACTCTGGAAAAGAAGAAATTGTATTTGCTTTGATTTTAAGATACATGTTTCACATTTTAATATTTCTGAAGTAGAGAAATGATCCATCTTTTTTTTTTTTTTTTTTTGAGACAGGGTCTCCCTGTGGCCCCTGCTGGCCTAGAACCCACTATGTAGACCAGGCTGGCCTTGAACTCACAGAGATCCACCTGCCTCCAACTCCTGAGTGCTGGGACTGCAAGTGTGTGCCACCATGCCCAGCAGAAATTAGTTATCTTGTTTCATCAAAAAGCATGAGTCAATAGTAATTTTTGCAATTTATGGTGCCACAGAACAGAAGAATTACATTATTTAAATATGAATGTACTTAAATTACTTTGCTAAATTAGAAATCAATAGCTAGATTTATATTATTTCTGTGAACCTGATGATGCCCTTCCTTATTCAAGGATCTTGAACAAAAACTACTTACTATCCCAGTTCAAAGGCTACTTGTGCTGGATAACTTTAGTTGTCAACTTAACACTGGGTAGGGGAGCCACAGTTTAGGAGTTGTCTTCATTGGATTGGCCTACGGCCATGTCTGTGGGACATTTTCTTGATTGTTGAGTGATACGGGAGGGCCTAGTTCACTGTGGGCGGTGCTATCCCAGGCAGGTGATCCTGTATTGTATACTAAGCAGGTTGAACGAGCATGGGCCAAAGGAGCAAGCCAGTAAGCAAGGCACCTCCATGGTCTGTGCTCCAGGTTCTTGCCTGAGTTCTTGGAACTGTGACTTGGGAGATGTAAGAGAAAATAAACCCTCTCTTCCCCAAGTTGATTTCGGTCAGTGTTTTTGTTTTGTTTTGTTTTTGTCTTTTTGAGACAGAGTCTCCCTGTAGTCCCAGCTGGCCTGGAATAGTGTTTTATTTTTTATCACAGAATAGAAAGTAACTAGAACATTACTGTTGTGACCTGTGGCTGCCCTACAGACATTAAGAAGCCAGTAAAATAAATAGTGCACAAATAGGTATAGAGACTAAAAAGAAATATGTTCACATTATTATATTAAGAGAGTTTCTTAACCCTGTACAATGTGGATAGAGCATTCCCCATTATGGACATGCTTATATTTTATGGAGGTGGTGATATAGTTAAATAAATGAAATAATGAACCTGAGTATCTCACATGTCTTATAGTCATATCCTTACTGTGAATCTTTTGAGGGAACATGACTAAAGTAACTAAGGTCACAGGAACCTGAGGAATATTATCCCTACTTTTCCGAGTATGAATCTGACTCAGAGCAAATGAGTCACTCAAGATTAATAAGTTAGTGGGATCTCTGATTACTTGGCTTGTTTACGCTCCAGCATTACAAATAAAAATTTCCAGAACAGTTATTACTTACCAAGCATAGTAGGGTAAATATCCACAAGAGAAACCACATTTAGCACTTGTAGGTTGGCCTTAATTCCTGGTCCCATCATGAGAAGTGGAACATGGGTGCTGGCTTCATACATACTCATTTTATAAAACTGCCGATGTTCCATGGCCATCTCTCCGTGGTCTGAAGTATATATGACAATAGTTTTCTGGAAAAGATCTAACTGACGAAGAGCCAAAATAATTTCACCTACAATGAAGTCAAAGCAAATTTTTAAATTAGCTTTAGTTCATTTTTTTAGTTTATCAAATTAATTTAAAATAACTGCCCCTAAAGTCTGTCAGAATGCTTCTTAACATGTGAGTAATACTCAAAATTTTCACATGCTTGCTTCTCAGTTGACACACCTGGAAGAGGAAGGAAGATATACTGTATCTATTGGGACATCTGCTCCAAGTTTCTTTATCTGAACATCATGCTGGCTTGCTTTCTACATTTCTGTCAGAGAATAGCTGGGTCTATTAGGAATAGGAAGGATCTTCCTCTTAGTACCTCAAATGAGAAGAAAAAGACAGATTTGTATATCTTCAGATATACAAAGATTGGTATTGCCACTGACCCATAATTTCTGTATAGATTTCAACATAATGTCTAACACAGTACCCCATAGCTACAAGTTTGCTAAACAAATTCAGTGGGGTCAGTAGGATGGCTCAGTAAGTAAGGCCACTTGCAAGAGAACCTGAAAACATGGTGGAAGGACAGACCAACTCTCTGTCCTCCCACTTCCATATGCAGGCCATGGCACATTTTTGCCCATACTCATACACACATAAACAAAAATATATATTTTAAAAGCACCACAGATTACAGTATGCTGCAACTGCAGTTGTATACAAACTTCTCCCCCTAAAAAAGAGAAAAACACATGAAGAGATTCCAAACTATTTTTCTACCTCAGTGCCTTTATATTTTCTATTCCTCTGTCTAGAATGTTCTCTTTGCTTTTCACATGGCTGGCTTACTCTCAGTCTCTAGTTTTCAGCTCAAATACTACCTCCTCAGATGTGTCTTTGCCCGACACTTAGTACACCAGACTCGTCATTCTTTTTAGTGCAAGCCTCCCATTGCTTACATCTTATTCTCTATGTTGCCCATTTCTTTGTTCAGCATCTGCTAAGGCTTTTTTTTTCCTCTGAAGAGACTTAAAGAGTAGCATTCTTTTATTCTTTGCAACAGATGAAGTATACAGTATTTTCTGTAGTAGATATGGCTGCAAAATTTGGAAAGCAATTTCTAGGGTGCATATGAATAAACATTCCCTAGCATCAGGAAATATCAATAAACTAATACTCAACAGATAAATGAAGTTATGACTAAAGAAACACTTAAAATCTTACTGGCATTACCACTGAGTACCTAGAGCCAGGTGTAGTGGTGTGCACCTGTAACCATAGAACTTGGGAGGTAGAAGCAGGAGGATCAGGAATTCAAGGCCTGCCTCAACTACATAATGGGTTGGAGGTTAGTCTGGGTTATATGAGAGTCCCATTCACGCCCCCCCCCCATACCAGTCCTCATGACTCTTTTCATATATACAGCTGTTAAAATTTATCCACATCGCTTCTCTTTTCTTTCTGCTGTAATCTTTTCTATTTATTCTGTGAATACTTTCTAACAACACTGGCTGTTCATTTTCAAGGTTCTATCTGCACAGAGGAGGTGTTGACCACACTTTACTAACCCATACTTTACTAACATTTACTTCCAGTAGGAACTGGAAGCACAATGCTACAAGTGAACAGGTAACACTCTCTTATGGAGAGGCAGGCTTGGTTCTGAGTTGACTTTGAGCCTGAATGATGGCAGGACGTTCAATGATTCCAGGTTCATCAGAGGAAATGAATTTCAGCTGTGGTTAAGGCTTGCACTAAAGGATCCAGGGAGAATGGGTTTCTTCTGTAGGTATGACAAGTATGAAACAGCCATAACAAACCTTTCATCTCTTAGAGCCTAAGCTACCTTACAAGTACCTGTCACATGCCTGTGTTCAGCCAAGTTCAGATTCCTCTTTAAGGCCAGTAAAATGTTTTGTTTTGAGCCTTCTACAACTCTTTATGTATGAACAAATCTAGTGCTTATGAATCTGAGAATTTATTAATAAATAAAATAGGGCTTTTTATTCTGCTATTAATGTATTCTTGTATGTCAAGACCTTATAGTTCTAAGTCTGAGGTATCTAAGCAACTGCTTGAAGAAATATCTGAAGATGCTTCTGCATGCCCCAAGCAGCATGACCATAGTTTGTTGGAAAAATATTATACATTTCTTCATGTAATTGCTTATTAATTATACCACCTACCTAGCATGGCATCTGTCTCAGCACACATAGCATAATAAAATGCTCTAATATTCTTAATTTCTTTTTCTGTAAACTTCCCAGTGCAGTTTTTTGTATAGGAGGAGTAATAATCTACAGGGTGCATTTCTGACAAAGGCAACCACTTTGGAATTTTGATGGCATCATGAGATACCTAAAAAGGGAAGAAGAAATAGCTTTGTTATACTAGCAAAGTTATAATCTTCCTTTCCTCCAGAAAGTATCTATGGTGGACTTCACAATACTTAATTACTTAGAATGGTTCAAAAGAATGGTTATGAAGTGGGCAAATAAAATAGTAAGACAAAAAAGTAGGAATGGGCTGAGTATACCTTATCTGAAATGTCTGGGAACAGGAGTCTCAGATTCCGAAAAGCGTTACTCTAAATGTCTAGGCAGAACAGAGTTGTTCCCCTGTGATAAATCAATGTGACACTTTACAAAAGTGACTTTACAAAAGTGATAAAGAAGACTCAACAAAAATGAACATTCAGGAAAGGAATGAAAAGTGGGGCTGGGGAGATGGCTCAGGGGTTAAGAGCACTGGCTGCTCTTGCAGAGGACTTGGGTTCGGTTCCCAGCACCCACATGGCTGCTAACAACAGTCCCAATCTGTAACTCCTGTACCAGGGGATCCAACACCCTCTTCTGGTTTTCTGGATACTGCACACACCTGATACACATACATGCAGGCAAAACACTCATAGATACAAAATAAAAATAAGTAAATACTAAAGATTTCAAGGAAATGAAAAGTGCTAAGGATGGAAGTGAATTCACATCACTTGTCTATGAAGTTATGGAAGAAATGGCTAAACTCAGAATGATGGTAGGGCTTCCATCCAAAAGACTCCAGATCCACAGCCAGAGGCATTTAATTAGTGCACATTCATGAGGAGGGTCGGTGTGAAGAAAAGGGGAAGATGCCCAGAGAATGACATTGGTAAGCATGTTCACCATAAAAGAACTCTTGCAGATATGTCTATATTTATGTATTATATTACAACACATAAAATGTAGGAAGGTGATCCAAACAGAGAAAGGAATATGACAGTTTGACAAGCCAAGAGAAGATGCTGGTGTGTAGTGGATCACAGAGTACACAATGGAAGACAAGCATTGCTTGAACAAGTCTTAGTGAGCTTATAGCACTTTGATCCTGTGTATCTCCATGTTTTCAGTACACTGCATTAAACGACTTTTACTGTTTCTTTTGTTTCCATTGATAACCAAAAGCAAATTTTTAAATGTTTTGACAGATGTTAAAGGTTCCAGAAAATTGATAATTTCTCCCTTTGACAATTAAGATCATTTTGCAGTTTTGTTTCGTAATGCCATTTTTTTAAATCACCCTGAACCGTGGGAAGTGAGGACAGCCTGCGTGCCTAAGAGAATGTCTTTTAGTTCCTCTTTTATAGACATATCACATGCAATTTTACACAATTAACAAGTTTGGATTCTTTATTTCCATAAGATTACCCATTTTTACCAAACTTATTTTTGGTTAAATTTAGAAGTACAAGTTTCTAGTTTTTCCTTAAAAGTGATAGCAGGAACAATGGACCTTCTGTACTAGCTGGCTGTGGATGGAGTGCTAATGTCTACTGAGCACATAAAGGATACTTACTTTTTCAAGCCAATAGAGAGATGTGTGAAATGTTGAAGAGCCAAAGTTTTCTCCTGAAGATGGCGAAGGGTAAGGGTGTGGTAAGTTTAGTCCCAAGTAAAGAACAAATGGTTTATCGTAATGAACTGCTTCCTCTTTCAGCCAATTGATGGCTTTGTCTGTGTTCTGCCAGTCTTTTTCCATTACTCTCACTTTAGTCTTACTGGGAATAAGATTAACCATAGGCCTGCCTTCTTGTCGGAGTAAGAATGCAACATCTCTTGTCCATGCTTCCACACGATTACTGAGGGAGTAAAAAGACAAGTATATCATATTTAAACAACTTTAAAAACTGGCTAAACATACATAGGAAAACAACGGGAAACAGTTTTAAGACTCACTTTTTTAAGTGCTCAGATAACTGTATTACATTTCAGTTAAAAAGCTGCTGAGGGGCTGGAGAGATGGTTCAGTGGTTAAGAGCACTGGCTCTTCTTGCAGAGGACATGGGTTCGATTCCCAGCACCCACATGATGACTAACAACTGATAGTAACTCCAGTTCCGGGAGATCCGACACCCTCTTCTGATCTCCAAGGGCACTGCACAACATGGGTGCACCTACCTACATGTACTCATGCACATAAAATAAAAATATTATTTTTTAAAAAGCTGTTGAACATGACAGGTTCAAAAACCAGGAAAAGCAAAAATTGAATGTTCATTAATGTGTTAGGATTGTAATAGATTACTTAGAAGTAGTTAGTTTTTCTTAGGGAAAGATACTCAGGTAAAAACATTTCGTATTCCTAGTATTTTTATATTAAATTTTCTAGCATTTTAATATTTTTCTCTCAGAAGAGAGTATTTCTAACTAAAGTTACTATAATTTCTTTGCATTACTAAAGCTTTACGTTTTAAAATTTCCACCTTCCTACTTCATGTGTTTCTAAAGGCTCCTTTAATCTGATCTGTGCTCTTTCTTAAAGAACAAGTTAGTCATGATCTGAAATGCGGTAATAGTGATGAAAATTCTTATCCATTATAAACTAGAGTTGTCTTCATTAGCTGACTTAAAGGCTAACGATCTAGCCAGCTCACAATGTGGAACTCTTCAGTCTGTTTTACATACTCCTTGACACTTTTCAAGCCAGGTCTGAGCACGTGCCGCTAACATGCTTGCTTCTGAAGCATACTGTGACATTTCTGAGAAACTTGTTTTTATTTTCCAGTTCACATAAGTACCTTTGAAGTGTTCTATCAATTTACTAAGAATTTTAAAGACTCTAGACACCAGCTCCCAAAATTATATTTCATGTTAAAACATAATGCTCCACTTTAAAGAAATTTCAGTCTATATATTATGACTAATGGTCCATGGATGATGAGGCCCAAGTAAAGAATTTCTGTTTTGCACTTCCCACTGAAGGCAGATAAAGATATTGAAGGAACTACAGTAAAGTTACGTTTTCATAGTAGATAGTAAATACATCTAAATAAAAATAATGAAAAGTAGAATTTTAGCAGAATTGCATCTAACAGACTCTAATTCTATTTTTAGAAGACTCCAAAATAGATTTTTTTTTGGTAAAATTCACCATACTATAAAGCATGGCATTAACTTCTCAACCTTGTTTAAACCATTATCAAAAAATCCCACTCTATGTTCCTGTCTGAGGTGGGGTTCTAGGGTTCCTGACAGCAGTGATACTCAGAGTAGAACTCAGGGAGTCCGAGGTAAGGAGCAGCAGCACACTGGGATTCACACAGGTTGTGTAGGAGCCAAGTGTTTCCTCATTAGTGTTCATATGGGAAAAGTTACTGAGAAATTACTACAAGAAACAAGTTTGTAACACAACATAACTGCTGCTGCTCTTTGGATTAACTCAGCTGTAGACTAGTGTTCTGATTGTGCTGACTGACCCAGTTAACCCAGACCATTTCAAGTGAAGACCTAGCCTTTAAAGACGGTTTGTTGAATCCAGTTGACAGTATCTTTTCCCACAGGATGAGTAAATGTCATTTTATTTAACTTTTCTGGTAATACATTTTTGTTCATTCCATATGTTTTCTGTGTTGCTGAGAATTCTTTTTTATCTGTTATGGTTGAAATCTTAAATGCCCCTCCAAAGCCCATCTACTAAAAGTATGGTGGCCAGTCTGTGGTGCATTAGGACATGGGAAGTAGAGCCTAGAGGGAGGAAGTCAGGGCACTGGGGCATGCTCTGAAGGGAATACAAGGGCCTTGCCCACTTCCCCCCTGTCTTTGCTTCCTGGCCACCATGAAGTGAACAGGCCTCTTCTACTACACACTCCTGCCATATTGCTCTGCTTCACTACAGACCCAAGAAAATGGAGCCAATGAAGTCAATGGAATGATGGACTAAGCCTCTTAAACCTTGAGCCAAAATAAATTTTTTCTCTGTAAAAGTTTATTTATTTTAGGAACTGCCATGGAAATCACAGTACTCTTAATGTTTTGTTTTTTTTAAAGAAAAGATTCAAATTAAGTTAATTTTGGCCTAGCTTTATCATTATGGACAGATTTCAAATTTGACTTTATATTTACCCTTTTACTAAATTGTTATTAACTCCTTGCTAATACAAATAGAAAATAAAACTATGTAACACATTACCAACTAATTACTGCATGAATTTGTCTGTGTGCCACTGCTGTGTGGGTTTTCTGTGCCAGTGTGCCAAATTTTGCTGTAACATTAGATACAGTCAGTTTACAGGTAGCACAGTATTAAAATACTTAGTAACAAGCACATCTGTTATGAGTTTTCTTTCAACATGAAATAGTGACCTAGGAAAATCTGTAGCTTCCCACATCTCCCATGAAGATTATTAGCCAGCTCAGGCTTCCACAGTTCTGTGGGTCTCCTCTACATTTCATGGTTTTTGTTGGAACTGAAAAAGCTAATGTATCCACAGTAAGTCTTCTGCACAGGAAAATGAGAGTTCTGAAAAATGCCCTTGTGAAATTCCAACCTAATTTAGTAAGCTCTGTAATAGATAAAGGAATCCACTCATTCCCCACTGAGTGCTCTTCTCTCAGAGCTGTGAGAAGCACACACACTATCTTAAAAGAATTTACAAGGCTGTCGTCTGTCTTCCTTACATATGATCTGTTCTAGTTTGTTTCTCCATTGCTGTTACAAAATACTCTGACCAATACCAACTTGGGGAGGAAAGGGTTTATTTGGCTTACATCTCCTGGGTCACAGTTCATCAGGGAGCCCAAGGTAGGCACTCAGGGAAAGACCCTGGAAGCAGGAGCTGGAGCACAGACCATGTAGGAATGCTGCTTACTGGCTTGCTTCCCTGGCCCATGTTTAGCCTGCTTTTTTATACAATGCAGAACAACCTGCCCAGAGGTGGCACCGCCCACAGTGGGCTGGGTCCTCCAACATCACTCAAAAGTCAAGAAAATACCCCACAGACATGACCACAGGCCAGTCCAATGGAGACAATCTCCCAATTGAGGCTCCCTTTACCCAGGTGTGTCATTGACAACTAAAGCTATCCAGCACATCAAAAACAAAAAACACTCAAAAACACCCCCCCACACACAAAAACAGTCTGTGTAACTTAATGAATCATATCAACCCTGGCAAATTCAAGTGGGAACATCACGTTTCAATATATTAAATGTGTATTAAAATATACAATTTCCTGTTGATTAATTTTACTAATACCAATGACTTTGGGGTATGAAATTATAAAAACGAGACATTTACTCTTCTTTAGTCATGAATTTCTTTGTGATGATGATGAAAATTTAGGACTTTATTAAACAGTAATAATATGTTGTTCATACAGTTTATATAATTTCATATTTTTACAAATAACAGTACATATATTTCAAATGTTGTTTTGCTTGCACGTATATGGAAATGGGTACTCAGGGATTTCATGGACTTTAAACTGTGAAATTCAACCAAGCCATTTTCTTGTCTGCAAGTAAATTCATCAATGAGATTTACAGCTCTGAATTTCTAAATGCCAGTGACTGCAGCTGTAGACAGAGGGTACACATTTGCTGCAGTCCAGGCTGTTAAACAAAGGCAGCCCTTTTCACATAATTTTAGAAATACCTGATAAATTTATAGCTTATATAAGCATTGTGCCAGGCAGGTGCTTGCTTGGATTTGCTAAGCTACAAGAATCATATTACCACCACTTAGCCAATCAAAGCAAGACCTTGCTAGTTACTGTAGTTTATAAAGTAAAAGGCCAAATGCTACCCATATCGGAAATGCAACTGCGTTACTGTAGGAACAGAGCAGGTTGTTCTGTATTGTATAAGAAAGCAGGCTGAGCATGGGCCAGGGGAGCAAGCCAGTAAGCAGCATTCCTCCACGGCCTGTGCTCCAGCTCCTGCCTCCAGGTTCCTGCCCTGAACCTTGCTCAAACTCACTACTTTTACAACAAAATGGGGAAGGCTTTTCTTTCTTTTCTGTCATATATATGTTTTTGTGTTGTTTTTTAAACATTTTATTTTTATTTTATGTGTGTGAATGTATTGCCTGCATGTACGTGAGTGCACCTGTGTCGTGCAATGCCACAGAGGTCAGAAGAGGGCTTCAGAGTCTCCTGGAACTGGAGTTAAGGACAGTTCATACCAGGCATGTGGGTGCTGGGAATCAAAGCTAGGTCTGCTGCAAGAGCAGTCAGTGCTCTTAACCACTGAGCCATCTCTCCAGCCCCTGTTTTGTTTGTTTTGTTTTGAGAGCAGCCTTAGTTGGTCTGGAACTCACAAGGCTGGCCTTGATCTCTCACAGACCTGCCTGTCTCTTGGAGAAGGCTTATTTTATACTTTACAGAAATTTAACTTATCAGCTTGAGCAATTATAAAATCTCATATTTTTGTACACTTTTTCTTTTTAGTATTATAAAGAAAATATTCTCTGGTCACAATGCCATCAAATCTGAAAGGACAATGTGTGTGTGTGTGTGTGTGTGAGTGCGTGTGTGTCCCCAGTAAATATGGCATTAAGAGAACTCATTCACCAAGATGTATTAGCTACTTTTCTTACTGTTGTGGCCAAATAACTGTCCAGAAGCCATGTCAGGACTCAGCTGGTTTTCTTCTTTCCCTTTCTATATAGTCAAGGATCCCAGTCCCTGGGATGGGATGGTGCTATCTATATTCAGGGTGGGCCTCCCCCACTTAGTTACTCCTCTCTAAAAGCCCTTACTGATATTTCCAAGGGAGTACCTCATTAGTGCCCTGTTTATTTCTTTCTTTTCTTGGTCTTTTTGAGACAGGGTCTCCCTGTAGCCCCAGCTGTCGTGGAACT